CACTATGCAATAATTTCGAAGATAGAACTAAACTATACGTTATTTAAGTTACAATATATGATATACTCGAAAAATAATTCCATTTGCTTGTAAAGTTATCATCATATTTCTCTCAGAAAGCACATATTTTCCTGAAAGTTTGTAAGGCCTTTGCGTAGAACGATTTCAGCGCTGTAACTTATTAATATTTTATTGCACACAGTTTGAGTGATTATAAAATAGCATTTATTGGTCTCTAGTTAAAAGCTTTCGTCTGCTTTCCTTACGATATTTGATCGTGCATTGCTGAGTGAACGCAATTTAATTCTGAAGTAATATAATTATGTATTATATTTCATTACATTCTACGAAATAAATTTGCTTTATGTGTAGTAGTCAGGATACATATTTTGAAATTGTTAAGATATTACAAAGATGCTCTTTCAAACATTTTACTGTTGCGTTGCATTAAGATACTTGATATCTTAAATTCATTCCTCTCATCTTTTGACAAAGCAATTTCCGAAATCTATGGTTTCATTTGCTTTTAACTAAGAACCACAGAAAAAGCTGTTTCATCAAGTAATTTCTATTATTCTTAATTTTTATGTTTCGAAGCAGACATTAATTTTTAATTTAAAGCGTTAAACAAAACAAATACCTTTCAAAGATTTAAAGTTTATCATGGCTATCGTTATATTTTATATTGCTATCGTTATATATTAAATTGCTATCGTTCAGCATTGCTATCGTTATTATTTTAGCTGTAAAATGGTTATGGTTATTATGTTAATGATTCCAGAATGCAGGCAAGTGATGCAACTATATATAGTATTATACTGAAAATTTTTTAATGAAAATAATGAAAAAATAAAAAACAAATCCGAAAAATTTTCAGATTTTATATTACGCTCAAAGGAGCTTTTTTTAACGTTTTGTGTGTTACCTTTATTTATTAATTATCACGTTCTTCGTACTTTAACCATGAAATTCAGTTCAACAGCAATATCACAAAAAAATTTAAAAAGAGCATATCTTTAAAATTTCCGATACACAGTCTCGCGCGCTGGCTATAATTTTTTTTTCCGTACAGTGTTGCCAGTGCTCGCTTTGAAATCGTTTAGTATCTTAAACAAAAAATCCTAAATGCTTTAAAAAATATGAAAGAGATAGTAAACTAAATTCCAAATTCCAAATTTGGGTTTCCAGATTCCCATATTCGGGTGGAGACGTATGTTATTCCAAACTTTGATGGCTCTATGTACCGTTGTTTTATCACAATGCGAGAAACATACATAAATTTCTGCACTCTTCGTTATTTAATTTATTTAAATATAATACAGGGCGATAATATTTTGGAGCAGCAATTTGAAAAGTAATACGCCGTTTATAGTGAAACACTACAAAATGCCAAAATGAAATTAATAGCCCTTCTGGGCTAACGCCTTTTCGTCTAAAAATTTATGATTTCTCCATTTTTGTAGTATTTTCGGCTTTAGAGATGACTCTATATAACCTGAAATAAATTACGCCTGAACAGAATTTATTCTTTTCTGATGCTATAAAATTTTGTTTTATTTCTCAAACAGCGTTAAATCACTTCGACGCCAACGAAAGAACTGAAATGTGTCAAATTACAGAAATGCACTTTTATCAACGGTGTTACGATTTCATTTCACATGTTTCTCAAATGATGATTTTTATTTTAAAGGAAGAAAATTATCTATCTGACTTTTAAAATTAAAAGAAGGGAGCTTTACATGTTTTTTCAAGGAAATAAAATTATACTTCTAATGTATAACTTAACTCTGTATAACTGTTAGCTCAGCAAAATTTATGAATTTAGCGTTTGCTTGTAATAATTTCAAAAGATTCGTTAAAATTCATATTTATATAGCGATTTCAAAATAACTATCTTTGATGTTAGACTATCTGTTATCAACTAAATGACGCAATTTACAAAGAGTATTTTTTTTTCGTTCCGTGTGTTACACAGCAACTTAAACCAAACAATTCCCTTGATTGATCTTTTAACAATGATAAATAATACAGTCAAAATAGAGGAAAGATCAATAAATATTCCTCTATGCTTTCCAACAGCGGCTTCCGATTCTGTCTTCAAAGTGAACCTAAAAAAGTATTTGTTTATCGAGTTGAATTCGATTTCGCAGCTTTGCTGTCTACAGCGTAAAGTGCGACATCTTAAAGTTCTCCATTCTTGCAAAATATATACAGCGATAAATTTGTCTCTTTATGTAGTGAAAAGAATTTAATTTATCCTACTAATAGTTCAATAAAATGGCATTGAGTATTGATATGTCATGCAGAACCTAGTTTCTGATGAAAAGGGTTATATTTATGATGTTTTTGCAATTTTTTCAGTGCATAATCTGAATACGAGTTTATTTTTTTTTAAATCATTCACAAGATAACCACTTAAAAGAATCCAACCACTTCAAGTTTGCTTTATCAAAATATTGTCCCGCATATTACTCCCACGGTTGCACAAAACAATTTGATATCCTAATTCTTCCCAAAATTATACAATAAAAAACATTAAAAAAACTTTTTTGAGCTTAGGTAATGCATTTTCTTTTATGACATCCGGAATACTTCATTTTATTAATGCCATTTTGGTTGCAAACGCGCTTCCGTACAGTTGGTGCAGCCTGTCTAAACACTTTAGATTGCTCTCAGCCTATGGTTTAGTTACGCAAATTACTTAATTTTTAGATACATTAGTATTTTTGGAAGCAGGCAAGAGATGGAAAATTAAGAACCGCCTTCGCCGGGAATCGAACACTGACCTCTGGAATACAATCCCATCGTGCAGAACCAGTACACCACGAAGGCACGCTAGGATGGTGGGAGAAATACCTTATAAATTTGTTGTGCATCTATCGATCGTAAGACCTATACCAGGCCCTCAGATCATTCTCAAAAGGTATTGTTACACCTTTCATTAAAAACTAAGTATTATTTGCAAGAATAAAGATTAATCCTGCAGATATTTCACTGAGTACTTTATTCGTAACATTTTACGATCTGTCAGCCAGGACTATTATCTTTTGAAATAACTCAGTTATGAATTTTCACTTGCCTCTTTTTTAGTAATGTCCTTACATATACCATTTAATTTTCAAAAGACGTTATCTTAACATTATGTTACGACTCTAATGGTTGACATATTTTTCGAAAATCATTATATTTATTACTTGTTGCATATTAACTTCCAGGCAGTGATTCTACTATCATGGAGTTTACTTGCAAACAGACTTTCTCAAAGTAACGTTTACTATAAGAAAAAATTAAATAAAACTAAATAAATAAATAAAGTAAAATAAATAAATAAAATAAAAAATCTGAAGGATTTCAGATCTTAAATTACCTCTAAACGGGCGTTTTATTTTAACATTTTGTGTGCTTGGAATGTTTTGGTGCATTTATTAAATATCATGGTCAATTTAATAAACATGGTATTTATTAAATATCCTGTTTGTCGCACCTAAACCATAAAATTCAGTTCAACAGCAATATCTCAAAATAATTTATAATTTCTTTAAACATCAGGGCGATAATATTTGGTGGTAACACTTTGAAAAGTGAAACAACTTTTATCGTGAATCAACGCAACATGCCAAAACGAAATTAGCAGTCCTTCTGGGAAAATTGCTCCTTTGGACTAATAAATAGGCTAAAGAAATAACAATTAGAAAATCCAGTTCATGGTATAGGCCTCATCCAATTAATATAGTCGATTGGAATGTTTTTCTAATAATATATAAGATATCGAGATATCCTATGTATTATTAGAATGAAGATAGATAAAATGAAATTTTCACAGTAAATATTCATGTATGCAATATAGTATTAATCATAGTAATTAATTAGTATTAATTTTTCTGCGTATAAAACAACAGTTAATAATCAACGAGAAAAGAAACTCAGGGCAGACATTCAACTGTATTCGTTTCGATAGTACAATCAGAAAAAGCCCACGACATTCATCGTGCCAAAGAGAGCAAGATTGCGCCTGTCGTTGGCAAAAGCCTTGAGCACCATACAGGTGACAGAAAGACTTGCTTATTTCCGTCCCCAATTTTGATGGAGAGCACCCCAGGGAATGGGTCCGATGGACTCCCATCTTTCTTCCCTTATCATCTGCCTCTTGAGGGGACTTTCGGCTAGCAGCATATTTAAAATGCCCCCTTTCCTCACAGACATTATACATTTACAAATATGCATTCTCCTCCGTTGATTCGAACCCGGGAACGGCAGGCTGCGTTGCTAATTACTATCTCGGTTGAGCGGCACTGTATATTCGGCTACATAAATAAAACATAGAGATCCCAGTTCGGTGACTGTCGCATTTCAAGAGGTGGCACTGACTTTAGGCTCTAAATCTAATGTTTAAGGGTCTATTTGTGTCGGACTCATATTTGACAGCGTGACATAAACTGCTAATATTCTTATTACTCACTGTTGTAAAATTTCCTATACTAAGCATGTTCAGATACTCGTTTTCACGTGGAAGAAAAAACCATGTTTGTGCTCGTAAGCTTTTGCGCTTACAAGCAGATAATGTTTATTGCCACCGATACAACCTTAGGCAGAACCTAAGGCTTTTAAATCTGCGTCTGATAGTAACTGTCTTATTCCCTTAATAATGATTTCTAAGTCTGTATACGATGGTGAAGTGCTGCTATATCTCTCACTTTTCAGTTTTTTGACATGCCTTTTACGAATTTAAAGTCATATGTTCCATTTTATTCATGCTTTACAATATAGCTATCATATCTCATGTGATACTCAAAATGTTCAATTTTAATTGTGATCCAAAATCTTATTTAAAGATCTTTCATATGGACTACGAGATTGTTTTTAATGAATTTTAATTGTGTATCGTTTCCTGTGCTGTTTTAAGTAAAATTTATATATTTCTTTTCCGAAATATATGTGCTTTGTAAACATTCTATGCAATATTTTACGTATTCTAATGATTTTTACTTTTTCTTTCATAGGATTAATAACCAGAAAGTGCTTGAATTAAAGATATATAAGTAGAAGAAGGATAATCGTTCCTTAAATTAGATGTTTAAATGAAAGTTATGTTCTAAGAAGCGGAAGAATAAGAAGATTTCAATGAAGTAATCAAGGAAGAAAAATTACTAAAATGAGTAATCACGTAAATTTATAATACAATAAAAGATGTCCATCCACATTGCAAACGGCTTCCATGTCAGTAATTACGCTGCTTTGGCTGTTCTTATGCAGAACTTTTCTCTGGACTGGCAGAATTTGACACATAACAGTTCAGTTTTTCAAGACGAGTATTATGACCAAGCAGATATATTCACTAGCCTTCCAGGACTCAAAGCTATATTCTACGCACTTTACATCATTATCTTTTTCCTTGGAATTTGCGGAAACGTCTTGGTGTGTTACGTAGTTTTTCGCAACAAATCGATGCAAACAGTAACCAACTTCTTCATCACCAACTTGGCTCTATCGGATATCTTATTGTGCACTTTTGCAGTCCCATTTACTCCTCTCTACATGTTTTTGAGGCAATGGGTTTTTGGTGAAATTTTATGCCATTTAGTACCGTATGCTCAAGGCGTGAGTGTTTATATATCAGCTTTTACCCTTATGTCTATTGCTATTGATAGATTTTTTGTTATCATCTACCCATTCAAGCCAAGGCTGCAGGTTAAATATTGCTACTTGATTATTATATTGGTGTGGTTACTAGCAGGACTGCTCACACTGCCATATGGTATCTTCATGGATCTTATTCCTACTGAGAAAGGTCTCTACTGTGACGAAGTCTGGCCGTACGAGTCTAGCAGGAAAGCTTTTGGATTCTCAACTTCCATCTTGCAGTTCGTCATCCCCTTCTTCATTATCACTTTCTGCTACATGAAAGTTTGCATTAAGCTGAAAAATCGTGCAAGGACCAAACCAGGGACCAAATCAGTGAAAAAAGAAGAAATGGAGAGGGAGCGCACACGCCGCACTAATAGAATGCTCATCACGATGGTCGTTATCTTCGGTGCCTCGTGGCTTCCCATCAACATCTACAACTTGATCATAGATTTCTACATTCCAGCAGCATCCTGGACATTCTTGAACGTCATCTTCTTCCTCTCTCATGCAGCAGCCATGAGCTCGACCTGCTACAACCCGTTTTTGTACGCCTGGCTGAATGAGAATTTTCGGAAGGAATTCATGATCGTTCTTCCCTGCTTTAATTCGGATGCTTCTGTTCCTAATGCTTCAACTAGACGAGGAGTTAGCGGGAAGACAGATAAACCCTGCAATGGTCATGAAAATATGACTCTTTTGCCTATGAAGGATATAACCAACAAAGATAGGAAATTACAGAAAGATAGAATCGGAGCCATAAAAAATAACACATCTGTGACTGACACTGTCAGGATAAATGTGACGAGCAATGATCTGGATCCAATTTAATTACGAAATGTAGAATTTCTGCTATTAGTTGTGTTGCGCATATTATAAATGATGCTAAATTTAATGTCATAAAATGTAACTGAGCTTATCCAAAATCAAATCAGAAATCATTTTACTGATATGTGGAAAGCCATTTTTTAAATTTCTTTTTTAATATTGGCTGAAATCATGGAAATAGTATCTTTACAGAGGGAGTAACAGTTGACTAAGTAGAGCATTTAGATGGCATATACTATACCATATCATTAAAAAATCACTTAATCGAATACAGGCATAAGCATTTAAAGTAGGTTTCATTAGAAGACGTGAGTGGTTTCTAGGCAATTTAAATTTTTAGAGAAACATATGCGTTTTTCCTTTACAATGTTATATTGTCGCCTTAAAGTACGACAAAGTCTTCTATTTGAAGTATCGTTTATTAACATAAAAATTAAATTGCATTTACGTTTGCAATGCGAAAGCAAATTCATCATAAAACAACTAATGAGGTAAAGCGTACTTTGCAACACTCACCTGATATGATATGATGTATTTCGTAACATTCACTTATCAAACTTAATTTCCCTATTAAATATCATATGCGCTTGTCAAATTATTAATAAAGTTTGAAGAATGATGAAGTTTTCAGGAATCACATGTAGCAAAGTGTAGAGTTATCAGGTTCAATGTTCCTTCTATCCTTCTTCGGGAACATACAAGGACCTGACTAGGAACAGAGAGCTTACTAAAGCTATGTTCACTAATTGTAGTAAGTAGACAGGATACAGACGAAGGGTATACAAAACCCTTTATTTTTCTCTATATACAATAACTTCCGTACTTCGGAATACACTGACCCTCCACTCGGGGTCTAACGTAAAAAGTATAAAATAAAACTAAACTCTAATTTAACTTTAGAATAATACACGTGGAAGATTGGCCTTATATAAAAACAGGAAGCGTATGTAGCACAGAGACTGTGAACACTACAATACGTTTAATTTATCAAGAGGATTAAAACCTCTGGCCTGGAAGGCAACAGCAACTGCGTAACTTCTAAGGTAAGCGGCCTGCTTCGACTCACTGCTTCCTCTCTTTCTTCGCTTGGCAAAAAGGCCACAACTTAAATACTTGGCGTTCGCCAGACAAACTTTGCATAAAAACCTTCACGCTTATAATTCTGGCCGGAAGTAGAAAATAAGAAGTGATAGTAAAGATTTAAAATAAAATAAACGTTAGTAAAACTTAAGATCCTTACATACTTCCCGCCAGAGTTAATTAGTTTGAAACTGAGGTCTAAAACGACCTTGTTGAAAACTTTTAGCTCTAGAATCTAACGCGAGGCCAATCTTTTACAAACATAACTTCGCTAGAAACTAGAAAATTTAAAAGAAAGAAATTTGTTACAATAGCAGCTCCCAGGATATACAACAATCTTTTTTTTCATCTGTACTGCATCTAAACAGGAGCTTTTATTCAATTCTGGTTCCTTCCAGAGATCTGGAAGGAAAACTAGTTTAATGAAATGTTACACAATGACATGGCAAGTAACATATACAATTATACTGCTCTTAACATTCTTATTTCATTCATGACTATTTTAATTATCTCTCCCCGTGCTCTCTGACATGTGTTGTAAAAGAACACCAAACACGAATGTGTTTCTGTCTACGTGTGCCACACTTCCTCCTACAATCAAAACACTAACGTGTTAAAATTCAACATAACGAGACCTCTTAACACACCCTAATTTCAACTCTAAACCCTGAGGTACTATTCTAAAAGTGGCTAACTCTAAAGTGTAGCGTCAGAGAGCCTAACTACACATCATTCAACCTTTAACCACATATTCGCCATGATTTAGTCTTTACAGTCACACGAATAACAAATTTTTAACATTACTTTCACTTTTACCATATCACGGTATTTCTTAACATTTAAAATAACAGTTCACATTGTATATAAGAACATATCAACATGCCGTTAATTTTACACATTTGAAAACATACATTAGTAGTACATTGTTAACTTCTATTCTTTTCAAAGCAAGTGCCAATTCTTTCTACATTGAAATAATACTACATTTCAAAAAGTCTTTCAGACTAAAACTTCTTTCTTGCTAGAATGTTTTAAATAAAATTTATACAATAACTTTTTACAATATTTAAGTCTTTACACAAACGCTATTATACATCAACTTTAGTTTTACGCGCGAGTAATTGAAAAACATAATACGAAAATCGGTCACAACTCATTTCTCGCCCTTTTGGCGATAAAGGTAGACCTCGCATGAGGTAAAACTTCTTGAAATCTGCCACTTGCAGTAAGAATGAAAGATTAACTTAAGTTTGCAAAGTAACATAAAATTTTACTTATCTTTGTAATATTCGGACATCCTTTTCTGGGCCCAGTCTTTAAAGGTACTGCAGATAGTAGCTGGTTTTTTATCCTCCTTCTTGTACGGGCTCGCCCTTCAGTGCTTTCCTCTGGAAGCTTCCGTTTTTTTCACCAGTTCGGCCACCCTTGAATACCTTCCTTTTCTCCCTCTGCTTGTGGTCTTGGCCGTTTGATGGCAGCTGGTCTTGGCGGAACCGGGAAACTTCTGTCGTGATCCTGCTTGGACCTCGTTGTTGGCCGTTCAAATTTTTCCTTGTACTTTTTCCTCCGCCGCTGATGGCCCTTCCGCAGTTCGGCGACTTTTGCTGCGGAGAGTTCTGTCGGATGAGTAGATCTTCCGTTTTAAAGCCGGGTTATAGTTGCCGTCATTTCTCCTGGTCCTCTTCACATACGTCGTCCTTCTCCCTTCTTCATTCTGGGGGTGTTCGTGAACTCTGTTTTCTGGACGGTGGAACGGCTTCTTTTTCTTGTTACCTTCAATTTTTCCGCGGGGCAATTTTCTTTTCACTTGCTTCTGTCTCTCTTATTGGCTTGCCCTTGTACTTGTCGTTTTTTTTCCACCTCTGGAACTTGTACCTGCGGTGTGTCTGCCGTGCCGGATCCTGCAAAAGATCTGAAAAGATTTGCATTTTATTACGATCGAAGTAGGGCTTGATTTGATCAATGTTTGCGGAACAGGTTTCACCATTTCTGGCTTTTAACACTACAACAGCGTGAGTTATTTTTTCTATAACATATGGTCCTTCAAATCGTGGAAAAAATTTGGCAGTTTTATCTTCTGGTGCTGAAGAAAGTGAATGCTTAATTTTTAAAACTTCATCCCCTACTTTATAAGTTACTCCCCGTCGTTTCAAATCATAATATAATTTTCTGTTTTCTTTGTGCTACTTCCGTATTCTTTTTTGCTTCTTTTATTAGTTTTTCTATATCACCCATTTTAAATTCTGGGGCTCTTTGTTGCACATAAAATAATTTATCTAACGGTGTTATAATCTTTCTGCCTAGAAATAACTCAGCAGGAGTTTTGCCCGTTGTATCATGTTTTGCGGTCCTAAGGGCGAAAGCAAATTCATTGACATAGTTATCCCAGCTTTTATGAAAATTTTTAACATAACTACGGATAATTTTCACTATATTTCTGTTGACCCGTTCCGCTATATTTGATTGCGGCCGATACGGGACCATTTTTAAATGACGTATGCCCAGTTTTTGGCACATGTCTTCAAATATATTACTTACAAATTGAGGACCATTATCCGATATAACTTTTAGGGGCGCCCCGTATTTTAAAATATATTTATTTAAAATAGAATCAGTAACTAATTTCGCGGAGGCTCGTTTTAAGGGAACAATTTCGGTCCATTTACTAAAATGATCAACCATAACAAGGAGATAGCGACTTTTATTTAACTGACTTTTTGGGAAAGGGCCCAATAAATCGATGCCAATTATTTCATTTGGAAATTCGGATTTAATAATACTATTTAGAAACCCGGCCGGGCGGAAATTAATATAATTAACGGCTTGACATGTTGGGCAGGACTGGACATACGCCCTTGTTAACTTTTGCAGTTCAGGAAAGTAGACTGCCTCGCGTACGCGTTGGATAGTTTTTCGAATACCAGCATGAGAAGCTAAAGGGCTGTCATGGAGCTCCTGCAGGATATTTAATCTAAGACTAGCTGGGATAACAGGTCGAAATTCGTTGTTGGAATTCGTAGTTTTTGTATAAAATAATAGACCATCTATTAGTTCGTAATGGGCCGCCCTATTTCTTATCGCCACAATATCTTGGTGGCTAAAATTTTCAGGATCCTTCAAATACTCATAAATACTTCCAAACTCAGGATCCTTACCCAGTTCGGTTATTACAGTTTCTCGGGAATTTATTGTACACGCTGTAAGCATTGCAACTTTTTTACGGTATTACCCTTGTTCGTCTAATTTAATTCGTTGATAGGGCATCTGCTACGATATTTTCCTTTCCTTTCCGGGGGTATGCTTGATTACCAGATTATATTCTTGCAGCTTGAGTGCCCATCTTATTAACCTTGGGGATAAATTTTTCCCTGAGTACAATCTAGTTACCGCCGCATGATCAGAGTATACTGTTATCGGCGCCTTTCCAAAATAGACTCGGAACTTTTGCACTGCTAACAGAACTGCAAGTGCCTCTCTCTCGGTCGCGGAATAGTTTCTTTGTGTTTGATTTAAAGTTCGGCTAAAAAATGCCACGGGCTGCTGATTTTGCGAAAGTACCGCTCCTACCGCATAATCCGAAGCATCCGCTGAAATTTCTAAATTTTCATCATCCTTTTCAGGAAATTTCAACACAGGGGCTTGCGTTAATGCTTGTTTTAATTTTTCGAAAGCACTATTGGCTTCGGCCGTCCACGAGAATCTTGCCTTTTTCCTTTTTAATTTTAACAATGGCTCAGCGATAGCCGCAAAATCTTTTATAAAGGACCTATAATATGAACAAAGTCCTAGAAAAGAAGAGAGCTTCTTTGCCGTGTTTGGAGTCGGATACTTTTGTAGTACAGCGATTATTTTTGATTCATCTGTCTCGATCCCTTTTTGAGATATTTTGTAACCTAAATATTTTAATTCAGGGGCTGCAAATTTGCACTTTTCGACATTAACTTTTAGACCGGCCTCATTTAATAAAGAAAACACCTGTCTTAAATCCTGTACATGTTGGTCGAGATTATCACTAGTAATAATGATATCGTCTAAATAGATAAATGTGGACTTTCCAAGAACAGGTCTTAACACAATGTCCATGCATCGCTGAAATGTTGCCGGGGCCCCTGAAAGGCCAAACGGCATACGCAAAAATGCAT